TAGTTAACGTGTATCATATCTTCTCATTCGCACGTTGACTTCTCCAACCCACGACGTCACCAGAGAAGTCGAACCAATGGTATGGTTTTACCTCGTAAATTCTTCTTGCAACAATTTAAAATTTTGACATGTTTTTCTTTGAATATCACATCTTGATCAAGAATAATTTCTTCCCAGTTAATGATGTTAGAAGGGTGTGCTCATATTTTTGTAGCATAGAGATGCGAAAGACATTATGTACCCCTAGCCAGTTGAGGTGGTAGAGCCAAATGATACACCACCTCTCCTACTCTATCCAAAATTTTGAAAGGTTCAATAAAGTGAGGCGATAGCTTCCCATTCTTTCCGAAATGAATAACTCCTCAACGAGATGGTATTTTCAGAAACACATGATCTCCAACTTTAAATGCTAAAGGTCTTCTCCTCTGATCCGCATAACTTTTCGGCCTACTCTGAGTGGTTTCAAGTATTTGTCTATAATTTCACTTTCTCTGTAGTTTCTTGAACTAACGTTGGCTTTAAAAGAGGTGCTTCTCCAAATTCTGTCCTACATATTGGCGATCGACAAGGCCTTCCATACAAAGCCTCATAAGGTGCCATACCAATACTTGCTAGAAAACTATTATTGTAAGCGAATTTGACTAGTGGTAAATATCTCTCCCAACTACCCTTGAAATCCATTACACGAGCTTGAAGCATGTCTTCCAGTGTCTAAATTATTCTTTTTAATTGACCATCAGTTTGAGGGTGAAAAGCTGTATGATTTTCAAACATGAAGCAAAATTTGTCTAACAATTTAGATTTAATTAAAATTTCATATATATTCGTATAAAGATAAAATAATTGATACACAAATTTTTGGATGATCTAGACATCATTCTTAAGAACTTTGTAGAAGAAACTATCTCTAAATTTTGAATATAATATTGTCAAAAAATTCGAACAAAATTTTGGCAAATTTAAGAATCATACGATCAAATAAAATAAAATATTCAATCATCTATTTAATATCACAAATTACACAAGCAAGCCTAAATTCAAGATTATATCATGATTTTAAGTCTACTAATATAATCTTCAAACATCTAATATATATATATATATATATATATATACTAAGTATACAGTAATGCCTAATGCAACACATGCAAAATGCAGCTGTAGCAGGCTCGGCTATTCTAAACATGGCATATGGAATGCTACAGCTACATGTATTCAACTTTGAAATTGAAAGTACAATGCAGTTAGTATGATGCGCCGAGCCCGGTGCATGTAATATAGATGAATGATGCAAGCATGCTGTCATACTGTATGCTAATTTAAACATGCCCTAATCTAACCATCGTAAGCGGATAAATAAAAGGGAGAAAGACGTGGGGTTGGAAGACATACATCACACTCACCCACACTTATTACAGTTGTGCCCTCATCCAGAGGGTCCAAATAAATATACAGTCCGAATATTACAGTCCCCAAAATAAAAGAATATTACAGTCCAAAATATTACAGAATTCTAATTAATTAATGACTTAACTAGAAAGTAAATAAACTGGCGTGCAAGCCGGGGACTGCCTTGCTTCTGGTGGATGATGCATGTCCGGACTGTCTTGCGCGGATATCCACCGGAATGCCCCAATTAGCCTCTGTTTACACCTGTTATTCTTGAAAAGCGTGCCAAGTCCCGGAAAGTTGCGGATTCCTGGTTTTGCTGTAACAGAGAGCAGGAAAGGGGCATAGCAATGTATTTGCACAAATATATGCATGTCTCGATCCTCGTGCCACCAATCACGCATACCGAGGCATGATGGCCGAGGAATCGAAATGCACAACTCAATATAGGATGAATGCACATGAAACTACAACTAAAACCTAACTCCATCATGGATAATCCGGAGTGTCGGTGACTGGGGGAATTGAGACACATTCCGTCACTCGGAGTACGAAATGTACCTCGTTTCCCGTGCCCGGGCTAACTCCTATTCCGGACACGATGCAATATGCATGATATGCATGAAATGCAACTAAGATATAATCCTAACATACTCAATGCTATGAAAATGAGGTGCCTCGAAGTGCGTGCATACGGGCACGCAAACCGAGGCAATGGCAAGATATGATGTAATGAAAATGAGATGCCTTGAAATGCGTGCACACGGGCACGCGAACTGAGAAAATGATATGTGTGTCGAAATACGTGCACGCGGGCACGCAAACCGAGGCAATAATATGTGTCTCGAAATACGTGCACGCGGGCACGTAAACCGAGGCAATGATATGTCTCGAAATATGTGCACGCGGGCACGCAAACCGAGGCGATGAAATGTGTCTCGAAATACGTGCACACGGGCACGCAAACCGAGGTGATGATAAATGCAATGAAATGACATGGAAATGACAAGTGGGCTTATACCAACATGAGTGAACCTCAGCCGCACTCACATAGGATGCCGTCGGATAAAAAAGATGTGCCTCGAAATGCGTGCACACTGGCACGCAAACCGAGGCAGTGATAGAATGCAATGAAATGACAAAAATGATATGCAAGCATGCCAATGGAATTTCAGCAACAAAATATGGGGGAAAACAGTCCCGAAATGAAGCGAAATGACATGAAATGCAAGGAAATGCCCCGAAATGCAACATTAGGCATCCGAAAATGGCCTATAGCCATGCTAAACATGCACAATATGGACATGGAATGTAAAGACAGAAGCAAGGCAGCCCCAAAATTAGCATTTTACTAGTTTATAGCATGGCCAAACAGTGGACAAAAACAGGGCAAAACAAGCATGCAAAAACTCACATAGGATGCCGTTGGCAGAAAATGATGTGCCTCGAAATGCGTGCACACGGGCACGCAAAACGAGGTGATGCAAAAGCAATGCAAATGACATGGAAATGGCATGCAAACATTCTAATGAAATTTCAGCACTAAAACAAGGGGAAAACAGCCCCGGGATGAGGCGAAATGACATGAAATGCAAGGAAATGTCCCGAAATGCAACATTAGGCACCCGAAATGGCCTATAGCTATGCCAAACATGCACAATACGGACATGCAATGCAAAGACAGAAGCTAGAAAGTCTCAAAAAATGCACTTTCACAGTTATAAACATGGCCAAACAGCAAGCATAGGTAAGGGAAAAATAGCATGCAAGAATAGGGGCCAAAAGAGGGGTAATGAAGCAAGTGGTATAAGCAAAACCCAAACTGAAACATTTCCTTCTAAAACACTGAAGATGGACCAAAAATATGAACATTTACAGTATATGGCAGCCTCAAAATCAGTATACAAGTATGCTAAAAATGTGATGCAAAATAAGGCTCAACAATGGCTATAACATGAAGTATACAAAATATTCACCAAACAGAAAAAAAGTGTGAATGAAACATGAAGTATAGGCCAAAATAAGGCCACTTTCAGTTCGGACCAAGGTCCAAAAACAGAAGCAAAGAGGGCTGCCAATTTATGCAAAAATGGGGCCAAATAAGGGATATAACTACAAGTGACACATAGAGACACCAAACAATGTTGAGCCCTCCTCCAATGTTGAAGAGGGGCTCAAAATAAGCCTAATATCAGTTTACAACATGCTCGAAAATAAATTACTCATAGGTCAAAAATAGCATGCAAAATTGTGACATACAAGAAGGTCAATGAAGCAAGTGTGTCATGGAGGGCTCAAACAGGGTTGAGCCCTTAATGAGACATGAAAATGAGCTCAAAATAATGATCTTTCCAGTTTTGGTCGGAGCTCAAATGTACAAGAAAGAAAGGCTAAGAAATGTTGCAAAAATGAGCTCAAAAGAGGGAAAGTGGACTTACCCTTGAAGATCAATTCTTTTGTTGCTTCTTGGGCCAACTTTGTTGCCTCTTAGCTTCTGGAATTCCTCTCCTTGCTCTTGGAATGGAGTGGTGGTGGTAGAGCTTGGTGTTGTAGTGTAAATGGTGGTGTAGGACTTGAAAAAATCAGAGCAATAGGAGATGGTTAAGCGGTCCCGAACCGAGGCACACGGCCTGACGGCTCCGAAAACCGGGAACCGGGCTCCGAAATGGGCAAAATGGCCTACGGCCACAAAAAGTAGCGCACGGCCACTGAGAGATGGTCTACGGGACCTCTCCCTCCCCTCAGGAAAAGAAACAGAGAAAACTGAGTCTGGTTCGCAAACCGAGGCAAGGCACAGAAGAGGGTTCGGAAGTCCGGAGGCAGGGCTCGCAGCCGTGAATCTGAGACTTCTGAACGAGCACGATATGCAACGTCACCGAGCGCTCAATCGGTGATGTCTGAGTCTTAAGGTCGGTCAAAAATGGGGTGTCTACACCAAGTATTATCCTTTTGCAAATTTTCTTCAAGCTAGTGTTGGGTCGAATCCATCTTTCACGTGGTGGAGTATTTTTAATGCTAGGCCGCTTTTGGAAGCTGGATTACGGTGGAGAGTTGGGGATGGGCGCTCAGTTCAGATCTGGGATGCAAAATGGGTGCCTAGGCCTCACTCTTTTCGGGTTTGTTCTCCTCCTATAGAACCATTGGCAGGTCCGTTGGTCAGTGATCTGATTGATTAGGATAGGAAATGTTGGGACTTACGTTTGCTACATGAGAATTTTTTGGAGATGGACATGGATGCCATTAAGAAAATTCCTCTTTGCTGTCAAGGTATACCTGACATGTTGGTGTGGCACTATACGCGAAGTGGGTTGTTTTCGGTTCGTTACCATTTGCAAATGAGTCTTATCATGTAGGAGGAGCGAGGGTCTGGGTCAGATGTACAACATGTTACCTAGTTTTGGAAGCGGGTATGGCGCCTCTAGATTCCCAATAAGATTATGGTATTTGCATGGAAGTGTTGCTCCAATATTCTACCAGTCAAATCAGTCCTTCGGCATCGGCATTTAATAATGGAGGATACCTGTGCTTGCCGTGGTGATGAGTCAAAAACGTTAATGCACAGTTTTTGGGGATGTTCGATGGCGTAGAAGGTGTGGCACCAAAGCCCATTAATGTTTGTACTAGATAAGGGAGTTGGTCTTGATTTTATGAGTTGGGCATATGAAATTGGGCGTAGTTCTGATGCGGATACATTGGGGTTGTTTTTCGCCTTATGTTGGGGAGTGTGGTTCTCACGAAATTCCGCCATATTCAATAATGTTGATCGCTCGGCTGTTTCAACTGTTCAAATGGTGTGTGTCTTGTTGCGAGACTTTGGGCAGGCACAATCCATTATGCATGGGCTTCAAGAAGACTGTGGTATGGAGGGGTGGAGTCCGCTGGAAGGGGGTTTTGTTAAGGTGAAATTTGATGGGGCCACTTTCAAAACACAACAGTCATGTGGTGTGGGAGTCCTTATTCGTGATCAGCATCGTGAGCCGATAACAGCTTTATCGGAACAAATCCCGACATGGATGGCGGCAGATTGTATTGAAGCTATTGCGGCTGTCAAGGCGCTGGAGTTTGCAGCAGAGCTGGGGCTAACCAACATTCATTTGGAAGGTGACTCTCTGACTGTGGTAAAGGCCATCTGAGAAGAGAGCAATCAGTGTGCTTCTTTTGGTCATTTTTTACAATGTGCCATTTCTTGTACCAAGCAATTCTTACATTTCCGTGACTCACATGTGAGGCGAAATGGCAACCTTATGGCTCATCATTTGGCACAAATGGCAAAGGAAGCTCCAGACAAGCGGTTGTGGCTTGCTGAGGTCCCTGCCAATTTAGTGCATATTTTGTTGAATGAAGTTCCTTTTCTGTAGGAGGGTCATCCCTTTACCCTCTAAAAAAAAAAAAAAATTCAATATAATTTTATGGTTAAATTTTTTTTTTGTTAAACTTTAATATAATTTATTAATATTTAAATATCACTTGTAAAACTCTATGAGACACTCAATCTTGGCATCACGGTAGAACAATCGAATCTAAAAATAATTTTAAATATGAACATTCAATGTTTAATACGTGATATAATAGATGTAAAAAACTTCATATATTTTGATCATGTCATGGAAACAGTAAGACTGAAACCACATGATTATTAAATAGTTTAACGAATGAGAGTAAATAAACTTTAAATATTTACAGAAGTCAAAATATTATGATTACTGAAATATCTAAGTAATTAAAGGAAATAAAAAATGTTTTCCTTACAAACCAAAAGAAAGTTCTATAAAAAAAAATTGAAATTTCTTTTATGGTTATTGAACAAACTGCAAAAATTGCAAAATATGAAAAAGATCAGGATGGTAATAGTATATCTGGAAAAAAAAAAAACTTTAGAAGGATTAACAGTAGATATCCAAAAATATTTAAATCTAGGAAAAATTACTCAAAAATCCTATTTGGAAAAATGTTGTTCCATTTAATTCTAGAAGTTTTCTTTCAAACCATTTGGTCATTTTTATTTTTGGTATGTTATATTTGTTTGATTTGAGAATTGTCGAGTTTACTTGTTTTCCCTTTGATGTGATTTTATTTTTGTTTTTTCCCCAATGTTTGGGTGGGTGTTAAGGTATGGTGTTAGTTTCTAATTTATTTATTTATTTATTTTTTGGGATTGCGTGGAGTGATTTGTAGGGTAGAACGATGTTACCCATTTGGTGTGTGTTTTTGTTGTGGAATCATGGGTTGTTGCTTAGGGGTTGTAGTTTTTTGAGAATTCAATTGTTGCGTCTGGTGTTGTGTGGCAATTCGCAGGTCAGTGTCGTTGTTGTGTAATGAGTGTGACATATTGTCGGATGATGAAACAAACGAATATAGCATAGTCTGACCTGCATATAAACACGCAAAGCATCACGTCACACTCATTACAATACAACATAATTAACCGGAAAGACAACATCAAAAACACTTACGAGTCCGGTCCCTGTCGTGGGGTAGTCTACAACCTACACAAGTGTTTCATCAAAATTTTTTGTCAGCGCATTGTTGGTTGCCAACCTTGGTTTCACAAAGCTATTATGGTGGTTGACCACCCACTCTTTTTGATTAATCAAAGTTAATTTTTTTAGTGGCAAAAACCATGTGACATATTCATAAAATAACAATAACAATGATCAAGCATGCTGAGGAAGGTTTTAAAATTGTTGGCCAATTGTCAATTTAATAGTCACAAATATTACACACCTAAAAATTACACCAAGCTACTTCAAATCTTGGATCACTTCAGAAGAGATCTGACTAACGTTTGGACACTGTCTCTGTATGAAATTAGAAGGAGCTTTCACCCCATGTGCCAAATCTAGCTTCTCCTTCCCACATTGTACCCCAAACGGCAACTGGATGTCGTTGTTTCTCAGCGGGAGATCGCTCCCCCCACTATAAAACCTCTCGTCTCTCGGGTTATACATCTATATTATTCAGCACACCGTGGCATCACACTTTTTATAAGCCTTCGGATCTAACTAATGCACATGGATTGCCTCAATCATCAGCCAAAATGGAGGTCTTCTGCAATTGTCGGACATGTCCTTCTCATAACTCTAACACAAGCACCATCTTTATCACACCAGTGACATTGGATCGATACATTAGCCTCGACAAGTTGACGACAGGTTTTTTACCATTGTTGGTTCGAGCTTTTCTGTTTCTTGAAGGGCAGTTGAGTTTGTTTCTTAGCAGCCAACAGGGTGGACGTTTGGATGGTCAAATTTGAGTGGGGTATTCTCCCACCCGTCCTACGTTTACATTCTTGCCTCTCTACACTACCTGCCACAACATTAACTTCATATTATTAGTCCAACTGATGGCAATAAACTTTTTTTTTTTTAAAAAAAAATTAACCTAACACATAAATTAGCATGAACATCACACCAAATCACGTATGTGATTAAGTTCTTACCAACAAAGTCGCAACATGTAATATATATTATAAATGTGAAACAACTACATTCACACGTGAAAACTCAACCACAGAGGCATAACAACTTGAAACACCATCAAGTTAAGGACCAATTTATAGCATTTTCAAAACATAATGCCATATTTTACCATATCTATCTACAAAAACGACACGCCTTTACAAACATGATGGGTACGTCCATCATCCACCAGCCAACATGGACAATGGTTTAGTAGTTTTAAACAAGCCATCCCACAACAACACCTAAAAAAAAAAAACCCTTGTCATGCATATCGAATTATTCAAAAGTAAAAAACAATAACACAAAAACAATCAACAATACTCGCACCTTGCAACCAAACGCGTACTCTGCTGTACTGACAACAGAAATTTCAGCATGTATATAAATTTCTGTGTAACACACAACATACTACATGTTGATTACTTACGAACACTAATATGAATGCCATACACATTACCAAACATTGACATATTGCACACAACAAAACAACGTTAATATGGACAATTCCACCAAAAAATGACCCAACAATTTAACACTATCCGCAATACCAAACCCATTTAGTAAATGTGACGGACATTGTACTACATTAACATGTACACCACTCACAACACATTCACACTATCACGAAAGTCATTAACATTTCCAAATCAACTGCAACACACCTACAATTGGACATTCTGATGTAATGAAAGCATTTATTTCAGCGTGTACTTAAATATCATTCGAACACTTGATGTACCAATATACCAGGTCACACTTCCTAACATTTGCGTGTAACTAAACTCAAAAGAAAAGGCAACCCAACCATTTACCAATACTATGACAAACCCACTCAAAACAGACAAATTTATATGACTGACATTTGTCATCATTAACATATTACATCCCCAAAAGATCCCACTACCCTAGCATGGACATCCCAAACATTCCACATCATTACTGACACATATACAATTGGAAAAATAGGGGAATCATTGTGTCATTACAACAAATCAACATAACCAACACTGTAATGGCACCATTGTTAAATTGATGTCAATAAATGATAACAACACACACAAATCACCACAAACACCAAACGAATGTCATACCCAAATGTTACATTGCCAGAAATATAGATGAGACATTACATGATTATACCCCCAATGCAATTCCAAACCCACCTGGTTAGGTGTTTATTCTAGGGAATCCCGTTTGACAAAAGTCATTTTAGTTGTACTTTTATTCGCTATTTTATTTCAGTGAGGTTATGAGTACTTAGACATGAATCCAACCCAAATTGTGCCTTGCAGAGAAGTATGTGAAGTTAATTCTTTCATGATTGCCACTTCGCTAACTATGACGAGGATCGAGTTGCCCGGTCAGCTCGCGGGGGTCCAAGGGGCAGCGCCCCTTGGCGGGTTCGGGGCAACGCCACAGCGGGGTTGAGGGGTAGCACCCCCGAAGCAAAATGCAAAAATGCATTTGAAGTTGCTTGCTCGCTCAAGTGAAGGAGTCCTCGATCGAGCGAAGTAGTCCTGCTTTCAGAAGCTGTGTCTGTCTACCAAAAACTTGAGAAGGAAGATTGTACGCTCGAGTGACGCCTCTTGAGGAAAACACGTGTTTTTGTTTCCTCGCTTGAGTGATGGAGTCTTCACTCGAGCGAGCTTCGCAGTCCCTGTTTTCTATAAATACTTGTTTAAGTCCAAATCTAGGATTACGTTTTTGAGATCTTCTTCTTGGATGTTAGGGTTTATATCTAGGGCTAGTTTTCTAGTTTTCGTTGATGTTTAATTGAGTATTCAACTCATGGTTTGACAAGCACACATCAAGGATTGTTTGTTTATTCTATACAAAAGAAAGAGTTGTTCTTCAGTGGATTCTAGGGAATTCGAGCCTGAAGCTTTGGTGGATTCTGGAGTGGCTCATTGTCGTGATTCGACATCGGCGTTGTGGATTCAACATTGGGCAAGACAATTCTGAGGTGAAGACGGGCCTGGAAGAGGCATATAGGGGTTGGTTCAATTCGGGGGTGGATTCGCTAGGAAATTGAGAGTATACCTGCGTAATTCCTTTATGTCTTTTTAGTGGGTTGTTTTGTGGCTTTTGCCCGTGTTTTTTTTATCACAATTGGAGGCACTCCAATTATGCTTTTTCCATGTTAAAATCGTTGTGTCAATTTGTCTTGATTGTTTGATTGTGATTGATATTTACTGCTTAAAATTGATACATAATCACAAATCAATATCTAGGGGATTTTTAGTTTTTTCAATTGGTATCAGAACAAGTCGCTTTGTTTTTTTAAAAAAAAAAAATCTTTTAGAGCGAGATCTTGTTTGATTTGTGATAATGGATTCAATTCGTGAGGGAAATTCTATGGTTCGACCACCTCTACTTGACAGATCCAATTATTCCTTTTGGAAAGCTCGGATGAGATCATTTTTAAAATTTATTGATGAAAAAGTTTGGCAATCTGTCATGTATGGGTGGACCGAACCGACGATTACTGTTGATGGAGTAACTTTCCTCAAACCAATTAATAAGTGGGACACAATTGATTACCAAAATAGTAGCTGGAATAGTAAAGCTATCAATTCTCTCTTTTGCGCTGTTACACCTGAAGAGTTTAGTCGTATTTGCAATTATGAAGTCGTAAAAGAGGCTTGGGATATCTTACAAACTATTCATGAGGG